TGCGGGGTGGGGAGGGGGGAATAGAGGGGGAAAAAAAAAAGGGTCGTTCCTACCTGTTCTCCCTCTCGGTGCTGCCAGAAGGGAAGAGCCCGGCGGCTCCCGCATCCCTCGGATGCCGCCCAGCCCGTGGGATGCCGCCCCCGCCCCGCGGAGGAGCGGCCGCCGCTCACGGGCGCCCCGCAGCGCCCTGGCTCCAGCCCCAGCCGCTCCCGATCCACTGCCTGCCCCCTACAACCATCGGGGGAAGGAGGGGAGGCTGGATTTAGGCGCATTCGGCGGGATCCCGCTGATCTTTGCACCGTTCAGCGCCCCCCACCCCGCCCGTTGAACCGAGATCTACACCCCCGAATTGGGCTGCGAACCCCAATTTGTTCTCTTCTCCCAGCAAAACCCAAAGTCTGAATCCAGCACCTGGCTACAGAGCTATGACCTTTATCATAGTATCATAGAATCATTGAGGTTGGAAGAGACCCTTGGGATCATCGAGTCCAACCATCTACCCTACTCTACAAAGTCCTCCCCTACACCATATCCCTCAGTACCCCATCTAAATGTCCCTTAAACACATCCAGGGATGGTGGCTCAACCACCTCCCTGGGCAGCCTATTCCAATGCCCGACCCAATTAGCAGGTTGAAGGTGGTGCAGAGGTCCTTATTTTTAAGCAGACAAGTCTTGTTCCTTCAGTAAAAAAAAAAAAGTGTTCTTTCCTGGAGGGTGACATATCCCCTTCATTACAAAAAAAAAAAATAAATAATAGGGGGAACTACAAGAAACAAACCCCAAACCAGCTGTTCCCCAACACAGCAGCACAGAGAGCAGCCTCCCTTCTTCCCCACATCCTTAAATCCCATGTTTGTATCAGCTCCTCTCGGGCCCCACTCTTCCAATCCAATCTACATCAAAGCGTTACCAGTGCTGGATACTGGTTTCCCCAGTTGCCCAAGGTGAACGCAGTGAAATCAGGTGCTGCGCTCAGTTCCATCCCAACTCTGCCACTTTTTGAGCCAAAATTGATTATGTGATTCCTGACCTCCCACTGCTGAGAAAAAAAGATGCCTTTTGCCAGCCAGATCCCCAGATTCAGACACCACCTGGATAAAAAAGCCATACAGCCTTGCATCCTGACTGCTACTCTAATTTTTGGCTGTCAGAAGTGGTCCATCCACTGTTCTTCAGGGGAATGGGGTATAACAGGAAAACACCACCCATGCTGGGTCAGACCAAAGAGCCATCTAACGCATTTTTTTGTCTCTGTGCCCAATACTGGATATTTTAAAGGAAAACTGTAAGTTTGGGCAAGCATTTACTGGTACTTTCCCACTCCTTGCTGATTTGCAGCTCAGTGAATTCCTGAGTCAGAAGCGATGTTTGTGCAAAACCCCTCGCTATACGACTCTGGAAGAAATAACTATTCATTAAATGCTGGAAATCACTTTTTCACCTGCGGTGTTGCAGAGAAGACCGGTCACACAAGCCCCGTATGGGTGGTCTATGCCCTTTTCAGCCCCTCCATGACCAAAGCCATGGTACACACGAGCACAGACAAACCAGAAATGAAGCCCATGCACCAGCTCCAGTATTTGGAGGGCTGTGAAGTGTGGTGACTGCTGTCTTTACATTAGCAATTACATATGTACAAGAGCCATCTAACGCATTTTTTTGTCTCTGTGCCCAATACTGGATATTTTAAAGGAAAACTGTAAGTTTGGGCAAGCATTTACTGGTACTTTCCCACTCCTTGCTGATTTGCAGCTCAGTGAATTCCTGAGTCAGAAGTGATATTTGTGCAAAAACCCTCACTATACGACTCTGGAAGAAATAAATATTCATTAAATGCTGGAAATCACTTTTTCACCTGCGGTGTTGCAGAGATGACTGGTCACACAAGCCCTGTATGGTTGGTCTATGCCCTTTTCAGCCCCTCCATGACCAAAGCCATGGTACACACGAGCACAGACAAACCAGAAATGAAGCCCATGCACCAGCTCCAGTATTTGGAGGGCTGTGAAGTGTGGTGACTGCTGTCTTTACATTAGCAATTACATATGTACATTTATATGCAAAATCTACAGATACAAACCACCGCGACGACAGGGCTGAATTTTGCAGCGCTCCTTTGAAAGATTCAGAGGTTGCTGGTATCACAGCACTCACACGTTTTTAGGCAGCAGAATTGGGGTGTACTGATAGAAAACTTCCAAAGTAGCCACCAGAAAAGAGGTAAATCCTGTCTTTGCCAGTTCCTTCAGATCAGTCAAATCGCTCAGTTACATCAGACCCTTGATGCCAAAAGTCGATCTTTGCACTTTCCTGGAAGAAAAAATATGCTAAAGCGAGATTTATTTATTTTTTCCTAAGGACCAACCCTTTCAGCAAAGCCATGCAGTCACAGAACTCAGTAGCAAAGTGATGGACAGGTTTCAGGAACACGTGGCTTTACCGGTAATTCTCTCACTTTGAGTTTATTAGATGTATCTAGAATTTCTGTGGAGAAACCAGAACCTGTTCAGTATGTGCTGTGAAGGCTAGAAAAGGCACGGGCCCACTAGGTGGCACAAATACATCATTTAAAAATAAGAAGCAAGCAGGGGTGTGTGCTGGGGGGTGTCTACCTCCTATTCAACATATTTTATTTATGCAAAGCAAAGGGGTACAGATAAAGGCGGCACACGCGGCTGGAGTCCAGTGACCCACACGTCTCTTTTCACACAAAAACAAGCTCAGACATCAACGTGCTCCTTTGGGCTTCGAGGCTCAATGGAAATCTCCCCAAAGAGCAGTATCTGCTCCTGCAGACCTGGGCTTACTCACGCCTGACTAACCACGCTGCAACTCGTTTCTCCACCTGCATCCCAGAAAACACAGCTCTCCCCGCTCAGTGGTACAAAAAACAAGCAGAAGCAGCTACTGATATCCTAATTTTTCCCACTTCCTTCCATTTGCCATCATGCCACTCCAGTTAGTTCAAGCAAAACAGTCTAATTCCTGCACCATCACCTTGAAATGGGAAAGGACAAACCAGGTGGAGCAGCTCTGCTGGGATGATGCTGAGCAAGCAGCACACACAGGTGCAACAGGCAACTGCCACGTGATAAACTCCAAAACTCACCATCTAAGGTAGATTAAACCTAACATTCAGACAAAACAATGACAGTGCAATTATTTTTATACCCATAATCATAAAAAAATCAAAGATGATAATATAGATAATAAGGGACAATGCCACTACAGCTGGATAGGCACTAATCACACTGCTGTTCTGTTCGGATAATTTCCCAGAGTCACAGAATTGTGGTCCCTCTGGAGACCATCTGGTCCAACACCCTTCTCAAAGCAGGGTCAGTGACACCAGGACTGTGTCCCGCTGGGTTTTCAATTCCAGCCTGGATGGGGACTCCACCAG